ACCGGGGGGAGGGGGGAGAGGGGGAGGGGGGGTGCGTTCAGAAAAAGGTTTTTTTTCGAGGGTTTCAGCAGTTTTTCAGGGCCTTTGCTTTCTTACATCTATGCCTTTGTCAAATACATCTGGTTAAGCCCATCCCACTTGAAAGATCTCTCCCCAACCCCACTCGACTCAACTTTTCATCCATAATCCGACTATAGTATTATGCAACACATGTTCTAGGTCAATTTAATATTCAACTAATCAAATGCTCTCTTCAATTTAACGACAGTCATGTGAATGTTTGTTGTTGAAAAGAGTTTTCTGAAAAAAATTTATGTGTATTGGGGACACCTATAGCATCAATTTACACCATTCCAATTTTCAATCAAACGTCTATAGTGTCGTAGGCCTACAATTACACTAAAACTAAGTGTTTGATGGCGTCACTAATAGCAAAATTTGTTTAATCACGTAAAGCTCTGTATTGCGAACTGTTTCTTATACCTTGACACCATTACCACCACTACCTTGTAGGCTATCGCGGCTTTTCTCTTTTCTTCAATGTAACGATTTGTTAGAGAATCTATCTGGTTCATTTACAAAATTAGAGGACGAGGGGGAGGGGGGAGAGGGGGGGGGGTGCGTTCAGAAAAAGGTTTTTTTTCGAGGGTTTCGGCAGTTTTTCAGGGCCTTTGCTTTCTTACATCTATGCCTTTGTCAAATACATCTGGTTAAGCCCATCCCACTTGAAAGATCTCTCCCCAACCCCACTCGACTCAACTTTTCATCCATAATCCGACTATAGTATTATGCAACACATGTTCTAGGTCAATTTAATATTCAACTAATCAAATGCTCTCTTCAATTTAACGACAGTCATGTGAATGTTTGTTGTTGAAAAGAGTTTTCTGAAAAAAATTTATGTGTATTGGGGACACCTATAGCATCAATTTACACCATTCCAATTTTCAATCAAACGTCTATAGTGTCGTAGGCCTACAATTACACTAAAACTAAGTGTTTGATGGCGTCACTAATAGCAAAATTTGTTTAATCACGTAAAGCTCTGTATTGCGAACTGTTTCTTATACCTTGACACCATTACCACCACTACCTTGTAGGCTATCGCGGCTTTTCTCTTTTCTTCAATGTAACGATTTGTTAGAGAATCTATCTGGTTCATTTACAAAATTAGAGGACGAGGGGGAGGGGGGAGGGGGAGGGGGGGTGCGTTCAGAAAAAGGTTTTTTTTCGAGGGTTTCAGCAGTTTTTCAGGGCCTTTGCTTTCTTACATCTATGCCTTTGTCAAATACATCTGGTTAAGCCCATCCCACTTGAAAGATCTCTCCCCAACCCCACTCGACAAAGACTTTTGGCTAGCTACAGGCCTGAAAGTGAATGAAATTGTACGAGGCTTGAGTTTGGGATATACTGTTTTGGTTTGACAAGTATATTTAAACCAAAAACATGTCTATACTTACCGTTTCAAACGTGACAGGGATAGGATTGGAATACATGGTACAGACTGTGTCACCGGAAGTTGTGGGTAGTGGTTTTAATGAGGAGGAGAAAAGACTACATTCTGTAGATTCTGTAACTCTGTACCCCCAGGGTAGGTATACTGCCCCATCGGTAGATTTTGATACCGAGATTCGTGCTGGTCTGAGAGCATCACCAAGTTTAAATATAATCTTCTCCACTGAAAATTCCTGAAAAATATAAAACCTTATCATCAAGAATAAAATTTATAGAAACCAAATACTAACGACCCAATATCAAAACAATAAATTGGAAAATCATTGGTAGCAGCTAATGAACTTTTCATATGATGAAGAATATCAATTATAAATGAAGAAAACAATGAATCATATTCGTGGGTGACTCAACTTTTCATCCATAATCCGACTATAGTTTTATGCAACACATGTTCTAGGTCAATTTAATATTCAACTAATCAAATGCTCTCTTCAATTTAACGACAGTCATGTGAATGTTTGTTGTTGAAAAGAGTTTTCTGAAAAAAATTTATGTGTATTGGGGACACCTATAGCATCAATTTACACCATTCCAATTTTCAATGAAACGTCTATAGTGTCGTAGGCCTACAATTACACTAAAACTAAGTGTTTGATGGCGTCACTAATAGCAAAATTTGTTTAATCACGTAAAGCTCTGTATTGCGAACTGTTTCTTATA